CGGCTGTCGCGCCCCGGCCCGCTGGGCGCGCAGGGCACTCGCCTTCACGTCCCGCGGCTGCAGGCCCCCCCGCGCGCACCCCGCCCAGACGAGGCGCCGCTGCGCGACGCCGGCCAGGAGCAGCGCCAGCAGACAGGTGGCTCGGAGCGGCGGCGCCATGCTTCTCGCGGGGCAGTGGGCCCAGTGCGCAGGGCCTGGCGAGCAGGTGGGCGCGGAGCCCCGGGTCGCACGTGCTCGGGGAGGAGGCCGCCCGCGCCGGCAAGTCCCACAGCTCCCAGCGCTAGAACTCCAGCGCTCGCGCTGCCGTCACCTGCGGAGCCTCCTTTTGAGCTGGAGGACGCGTGGTGTGGTTCGCGCGGGAGGTCGGGAAGCTCCGCCCAGACGACCGCCCTCCGTCCTGTCACCAGGCAGTCGGGTGGGACACCTCCCCCTGCAGGGGATGCCAGAGCAGGGCAAGGCCAGAGGAGGCTGCACCCCTAGGACCTGCCCTGGGCTCCCCCGCCCCACCCGGCACATAGTTGTGGCTGCAAGATGACAACCGATGGGACCCAGCCAGGAAAGTACCGGGCGGCCGGGCAGCAAGGCCCGCCTCCTCCCTCTGGCCTTGGCAAAGTCCCGGTTCACTGGACCTCCGCCTGCCGGCCTCTGTCAGCTCACAGCAAAGGCCTTTCTGCCTGGTGGGGTGGGAGTCCTGTGAGTGCTCTGGGAGACAAACACACTGTCACCCCACTTCTGGTTTCAGCACAGAGGCCCAGAGAGTGGCCTGGCCACAGCTCCCTGCTCCTGCCTGGTCCCCAGCCTTCGGGCAATCCTGAGGCAGTGGCCCTCTGACGCACAGACCCACACCCTCTCCCCAGCCCTTATTCTGAGAGGACTAAACTTCCAGCCAGGAGGCCATGGAGCCTCGGGTACCTGACCCGACAGCCCTGGCCAGGTGAAATGGGACTCCGGCCTGAGGCAGCCACCACCGGAGGTGACCTCACCAGCTGTTCACCACAAGGAGCCTGACACCAACCTGGGGACAGGTCAGTGCACCACCACAGGGGCCAGAGTGCTCCCCAGACCCAGTCCGGGCCTCAGGTGCTGCACGGACCTCGCTGGTGTTTCTGCATCTGTGCTGGGAACTACCCTTGGGCTGGCTGGCCTCCAGGGAGCATCCTGGAGGGGTGAGGAGACTTCACGGTGGTCCTCCTGACAGCCCCTGGGCACCCTGGTCCCGAACCCTCACAGGTTCTAGCCAGCAGGTCTCAAAGCCGA